GGTCTCTTGTATTCCTGCAAGCTGATCTTCCAGTTTTTTTCCAGGATTTAAAAGCAAGGCAACTTGAGAAGGGTTTGGACCTCACTTAGGAAGAGAATCCCCAGCTACACTGAAAGCTGAAGTGCACAAAGCCCTGAAAGATGCACAGAGCCTTGTTGTGCAGCAAAAGCAGTGAGCTGATGAAGTGAAAAGACCCTCACAAACGTGCTGAAACCAGGCATGTGTTATTATTTAAAACAGGTATTATTACTTTATTACTTTGATGCATTTCTTTCCATCAGCCATGGTGAGCTAGGTCAAATCTCCCCTGTGCAGAGCTGTGCAGATGCCAGCAGCTGCTGACTGCCCAGCTAAGCACTGGCACCCTGCTCCTAATCTGCAGCAAGGACTAGTCCAGTGCAGCCTCACTGTGAGGCACACCATGAAAGTAAGACACTAACAAGTACCAGTGTGATTAGAAGTTTTAGTAGGACCAGTAAAATACCTGTTTTAGCCAACAGTTAAATGAAGTACCTATGTAAAGCTACCTTTTTCCTGTTTTAGCCAACAGTTAAATGAAGTGCAATGAAGAACCTATGTAAAGCTACCTTTTCATTTCACAGAAAATGGGGTTTATGCAGACATTAAAGTTAATGCAGAACTGTTGCTACTCTCCCATTTCATTCCTTGGTTTTGGAACTGTGCTGACAAAAATAAGCAGTTTCTGAAAAAGCTTCAGATCCATAGTCTTTAATTCACAAATGACTGGTCCAAATGTTTCCAGACATCCAGGTGAATCTGCAGCCTTCAAGTGCAAACTCTCACAGAAAAGAGCCACTAATCACAAAATTAAGGTAAGGTATGAAAGAATGAGTCCAGGTTTTGTCCAGAATTGTGGTAATGACTTCAGCTTTAGGTGAGTTTATTAGTTAAATAGGACTCCTTGAAAAATGAGTGCTGCTTGTGCTCCCTTCCTTGGGACCAGTGCATTATCTGGGTAGGGGAGCAAGGACATGGACATAGCCAGACTACAAGCATTGTGTGATCTCTAGCACAGCTCAGAAACACAGGAATGATGCTGGGATAACACTTCTAATGCTTTACTACAACTGCTGCCAGGTTATTTAACAGTATCCAAATACGGTGTATCAGCATCTATATTGGTTTTAACAATTAAAGAGTTTATTTCATCTCCCCAACAACATCACTATAAAACTAAGATCTTTCAATAGGTTCTTAACACTCACTGGACAACTCTTACTGCAAGTCATCTCAACTAATGTGACAAAGAGGCTGTGGGAACCTTCCAGTAGCCCGGGCTAGGAACCGCCGGACTCCTTCACCTGGGACAAAATTAAGCAGATCCCTCTTTCCACTGAAGCCCAGCAAAAAGTGTCCAGGGCCTCCAGTTCTAGAGCTGCTGAGCAGGTACAGAGTCTGCCACAAACAACACGCACACAGAGGCAAATAGGAAATTCACCCAGGGACTTTGTCCACACAAAACAAACCTGCAACACTGGGGAGGGAAGAGTGAGGGCTGCAGAACAGGGCTCCTGGGTTTGCCAGGTAAAACAGGGCCAGCCTAAAGGCACTGAAGAGAAGTATAGGGATTGTTCTGACTAGTAGGAAAATATGCAAAATAAACACCCCTTTAATACTGTAATTAGTATCTTCTAGCTTGATTAGGTAATAATCAAGGCCTTCAGATAAAAAGGCTGCCTTTGTAATGTGGATGGGTTTCATGAGTACAGTTTCTGCAGCTCTCCCTTCTCCTCAGTGTTGCAGGTTAACATAGTCACAGAAATAAAAATCATAGGTTTGAATGGTAACTTAAAAAAAAAAACAAAACCAAACCCCAAACCCACTACTTTTGAAATGTATTTATTTTTAAATAAGTTTTGCTTCTGTTTCCTCAGCACAGTAAGATCCCAGGAGTGCCTTCCAGAGAGATCCCAATGCCTGGCTATGCTTTGCTAAGGTGGCTATTCCAGATGAGAGTGTCCTGTGGGGTCAGGGCTGGATGCACAGAACGTGGAGGTTGATGCAAACACTCCCTGCCCTCTTCCCTGAGCAGGGAGTTGCAGGGAACACAAGCAGCAGCAGTGCCTTGTAGGACTGCACTAGGCCAGGAGAGGGTTTCTCTTACATTCCTCCCTAGAGGTGGATGCTCAAATTTCCTCCAGCACATGATTCTCTTCCTTGTGCCTGTCCTTGCTGAGCAAAGCTGTCTGCCCTTTACATTTCAGTTCTTACAGCTGGTCAAAAGTAAGAGAAAATCCTGACCATCTGTGTTAGCAGCTGTCCTGTAGAGAATGGCATATTTGTTGGATGTGAGCTTCCTTTATGTGTCCTACACCTAAGTTTAGCAGCAATTTAGAAATGATTGGATATGTTTAAATCCATGGAAACGAATGAAAACACATTTTTGAAGAGATAGCAAACACCATGCTCCAGGGCTCAGGTGTAGCTTTGTTCATGGTCACTGCTTAAAACTCACTTCTGTGTTTTACACCTATAATTTCAAATATTCTGTACTGCAAAGTGATCTACAAAGGGCCGTGCCCCCATAGACATGGGCTATTTCAACAAGGCACATCTCTAGTTCTCTTAAACTCATGCTGTGATATGAGGGGTTTATCCCTTAAACAGCACTATAAATACTGTGTCAAGCCATATGCACACAATTTTGGCTACAGGGACTTGTTCCAGGACTCGGGTCCCTTCCAACACCCAGGCACACACTTTGAGAGCTGCATGTGCTGAACATGCACTGGTGTTTCTGCAGATACAGGGGAAGGGGTGAGCCCTGGCAGAACCATCTACTGGAACAAAACCAAGGTGTTATTTTCCATTTTGTCAGCTGTGGCTGTGTTTCAAAGGAGGTCAGTCTTGGGGAGCATCCAGTGTACCCCAGAAACCCAGTGCTACACAACCAGCCACCATCTTCAGGATCCCTTAGCAACAGTCCTGACTGTCCCATCTAGAATTATAGCCTTATGGCTATAAGGAGAAGTTTTTCTAGACAAATGGAGTCAGTTTGGAAGTAGGCTTCTAACAAGCATACACACCAATCATTGACATTTTGTGTAACTTTCAAAACAGCAGCAACAACAAAAATACCCACACCAAGCAGTCAACATAGTACAGAATGATTTTGACACCAGAGATGCAGAACAGTTAACTTGTTAAATCCACACTTGTCACTGACCCTCCCACTCCACTCTGCCTCACAACCTTCAGCTGGGCAACCAGCCAAGAGCCACTGGGCACTTTTAGATCCCCCTGGCTCCCCCAAGAGCTTCCAGCTGCTCAGAAACACCCAGTGCCTGCCAGAGTGTGGCCCCTGTGGGTGCCTGACAATGCTTCTGCCCTCTTGTTTTGCTTCACCTCAAGCTTTCCTAATGAAGAGGGTTTGTCCAGTATCTTGGTAACTGCTACATAAATTGGCTGGCATTTGGATTGCATTTCATTAAGCAGCACCAGTTAGTTAAAGAATAATGAAAATAAATCCCACAAACAGTTCCCAAATGCTCAGGTTCCATAGTTTCTTACTGCCGCAAGGA